CGTGTGTACAAACATATGTACGTATAAATGTAACAACCACACAGATTGTAATTTGGAAATCGTCGTAAATTACACAAAAAAAGTAACATTCGTTTGTGTGTTTTGCTTTTTTGTTCATAGCATTTACCCAAACTAACCAATTTTCCCGACCAATGGCCAGCCATTTGTGAATAAATTGATGGCTGGTGGTCTGGTCTGGCCGTTGTCGCTACTACTTCTGCCTGGTGTTATTGGTTTTACAAGTCGCCGTCGCTTTAGTGTTTGTCATTTGCGGCTCAAGTGTGTAACACGATGAATTTGAGCTGTCCGACCTTTTCAAATCAAGTAGAATTTGTTATTTTTTTCAGTTCTGTGTTCCGAATAAAACAAGACTACAGCAACAACAAAATAACAAATAACTCTCGTATAAACATATAAATTCACACAGAACTACCAACAGACAAACATTCCTCTATAAAGAATAGAACTGAAAACTTACAAATCTTCAAATGTTGTTCATTTCAATTCAGATGACATGTAAATTTATGACCTTTTCAAAAAAAAAAAAAAAAAAAAAACCCCAAGAAGAAAAGAAAAATCCAAATGAAAGAAAATGAATTGTTTGAGGATTTGCACAACAACAGCAAAAGCAATAACAAGAACTATAATAAAACAGAGCATCAATTAGGGATACATTAGGGGCGGTTGTGGTGAGGACAACGAAGACGACGTCAATAACAACAAAATATGCAAATCTCAAGTCAGAATTTTAAACAGAGAATTCTTCTATGCAATTGCGGAGAGATGGAAGGGGAGGAGAAAAGCTAAGAATTTAGTTAAAGAAAGCCATACATTGACCTTTTTCCTTTAGCAAGGAGACAGTCTGTTTTTTCTTTTCTTTTCTGATTTGTTAAATACATTGCCCATGGTATGTAAACATGTTTTGATTGGCAATCTGATATAAAATTTTTAGGACAAAATTTACATGCATCCATAAAATGTATTTAAATGATATTTTTGTTCATAAATAAAAATATTCCTAAAAATTTTCGAAAAAAAAAATTAAATAAATTGTATGATTTAAAAGGGATTTTAAAGACTTTGCATGAAATCGTAAAAATTTTCTTTAAATAAATTATGGCATAAGGTCGGCACTTTCAGGTTATTCTCTTTTTCCATTACGTATGCAATTTTTTAATTTTATTAAATTTAAAGTTAATATTGTTAGAAATGTTGTTTAATTTCTATTTCAATAAAAATATTTTGAATTCAATTTCTGCAATTTGTAAAATTTTTTGCTTTTGTACTCCGATGTGGGAGTTATACCTACAAATTTACAGAGGTCTACATATTCTGATATTAACGTTATCGAACTTTCAAATATTGTATCAATATCGTTCAGAAATTTTGCTCAAAAATAATCATATATTATATGAATAGTGTTCACAAAGTGTTGCCAATGTCCAGATTTCTGCATTTTATGAATGCAATTCATACAACTTTAATTACACAAAAACTATTTGTCGTTTTGATTTTTATACCCTTCACCACTCTGTGGTACAGGGTATTATGTCTTTGTGCATATGTTTGTAACAAGCAAAAGGAAACGAGATACACACATGGTTCCTTTTGACAATACGCAATAACTTTCTGAGTCGATTTATGCATGTCCGTCCATCCGTCCGTCTGTTGATGTTAAATTGTAAACAAAGTACAAGTCGCATTTATAATCCGAATTAGATAAATTTTGGCATAGGTCACTTATTTGGCCTAAGGACGAACCCTATTGAAAAAATCGGTTTAGATTTAGACATAGCTCCCATATATATTTTCGTCCGATTTAATGTAAACGGACCCATATATCTTTTGATTTGCACGAAATTTGGTACAGCGTAATGAATTAGGTCTAGAATGATGTGTGTCAAGTTTCCTGAAAATCGGTTCAGATTTGGATATAGCTCCCATATATATTTTTGTCCGAGATTTCGATATAGCTCCCATATATATGTTCGTCCGATTTTATGTAAATGATGCACCAACGTCCCTATATATCCTTCGATTTGCACGAAATTTGGCACAGCGTAATGAATTAGGTCTAGAATGATGTGTGTCAAGTTTCCTGAAAATCGGTTGAGATTTAGATATAGCTCTCATATATATTTTCGTCCGATTTTATGTAAATGGTGCACCAAGATCCCTATATATATCCTTCAATTTGCACAAAATTTGGCATAGCGTACTGAATTAAGTCTAGAAAGATGTACGTTAATTTTCATGAAAATCGGTTCAGATTTAGATATAGCCCCCACAAATGATTATAGTTTTAACAACGCGGCGAACCGAATAGCGTGTATCAATTTTGCTTTAAATCGTTTTCCATAAATTTTCCCTATGTTACGCAGACGGAGAAAGAGGGAACGTAGACATGCAATTGTTAGGATGCAGGGTCGTAGGCAGGGGGGCGGCCCTGGGGGACCGCCCCCCCCCCAAAAATGCATTTTTTTCACAGTAAATGTATGTTTGCAATAGCGACTTTTGTCATTTTGTACATATGCGAATTTTATGACACCAACAATGGAATACAAAACTAAACTGCGTTTGTAAACAAGTGTAATAGTAGACAAAAATTGGTTGAAAAGCAGACAACCACCAAGTGAGGGAGAGGAAGAGACAATGAATGACGGTTGTGGCGGTGGTTGTTGGAAAAGCAACAAATGAGGTAAAGTAAAATGGCAAAGCATTATTATTAATAAAATATTTACATTTTTGGAAAAAATAATGGATTTCTCATGATTAAAAAATTTAAAATTAAAAAATGGACATGAAAGTTCCAATCTCACGTGGCTAAAAGCTCCAATGTAATAAAAAGTGGCTGAACCTTTTGGTTTTGTATATCGACCAACATCAAGTTTAACGTTTAAAATACGAAAATTGGTATGAATCATGTCTAAGTGTGGACCGATTTAGCTAATTTTCGAAACTGACATTTCAGTTTTGCCCTCCGAAGGTGGTACGATAACGACAGAAGTACAAACGGACTGAAATGGCTAAATTTACATAGAATATAATACTTATGGCAGGATATAAAATGACAATTTCGAGGTCAGAATATCCCCCACACTATGATGAAATACGCTATATACCGATAATGATAATTTTTAGTGTGGAGATTGGGTACCCAATCTAAAATCCCAAAATACCGAAAATTTGGGAGTACTGTTATATTGGGACTATCCCAATATGCGGATTGATATAGCCCATCTTCGAACTTGACCTGACTGCAAACAAGAGACAACCCTATGCAAAATTTCAACACCCTATCTCAATTCCTGCAGAAGATAGCGTGGGTATAACAGACGGACGGACATGACTGGATCGGTTTAGAATTTTACCTTGATAAATAACATAAATACTTCATAGGGTCGAAAATGATTATTTCGATAAGTTACAAACGAAAAAAAACTTTAATATACCCTCCATACTATGGTGGAGGGTATAAAAATGTAGTCAATTTGGTTGAAAGTCAATACTAGAATGTTCTATTATCGTACTCAAAAAGTGGTGGAACTTTTCAAATTTATAAAAGGACAATAAAAAAAAGTTCAATTAATAGGGGATTTAAGGTTCTAATTCCGTGCCTCAGGGAAGGTATCATAACTCAGTAGGATTGGTAAAAATATTGCGACGGGCAAAAATTTTACTATTTTGTTTGGTTCGTTTAGCACCTTCGACACTTATTATCCGTACGCACCATCCAGACAGGCGGATGGAAAGCCATGTGTAAATGAACTTCAAATTGTCAGATATTGATTTGATCCAAAGAAACTTGGGGTAGATGAGATATGTTTTTGCTGTATCATTTTTAGCATATGTACTCGAAAGTGATTTTAATTATATGATCAAAATAAAACCAGTGAGCGAAGCAGTATAGTCGGACAAGGCCGACGCTACACAACTACCATTGAACTATTACTTTCTACGTTCTATATTCCGAGCGTGAGCAATATGTCGCGATATTTGCACCTTTGGCATATATGAGGTCAGCAGTTCCTCTTTCCTACCGTGGCATCTTTTTCGAGTCATGTTTCCCGGAGTAAAAATTTACTCCATAAGATTCAAATTTTGTTATTTTACACAAAAACGTTTTGGTTGATTCGATCTGCTATATCAAGGCAGCTATTCGAAGTAGTTAGTCAGATCGCCTTCCCGATGGAAAATTTGTTAAATTCGGTAGATAGTTGTGGCGTCTAGAGCGACTAGAAAACCCTGCAAATATAAAGTTTTCAGTTCATTTCATCCGTAATAGTCGAAAATTATAGGTGTAGTCCTGCGCCATAACCGGAACCACATTCAACAATTACAGCAGTGCTACATATCCGCCCCCTAGTGTGGTAATGATAACACTGAACAATATCAGAATACGTATCTCCTGTGAATATTTTTCTGTAACACCTATAACCGAGTATAAAAACAATATAATTGGTATCAATTTGAAGGTATATAATGTAATTTTCTCCGGTCTATTGCCTTCAGGAGTAAAAATATACACAATGGAATGCAAATTATTTTCATTTTTCACACAAAAGTCTTGGTCTTTTTGAACCGCTAAATATCGATAGATCTTAATAAAAAAAAACAGGCATGCTTCTTCCCTGGCCAGCTTCCCTTCATAATGTAAAATGTCGTGGTGTTCTTGTCATTATTGTAGCCTCTAGAGCGACCAGAAAATAGGACAAAAATATAATTGTTGGTCCATTTGATCCCCTAAATATTAACGGAACATTACGTATAGGTTTCTTCTTTGGCCCGAACCGAACCTACATGCTACATTTCGTGAAGATTGGTTCATGACTGTGGCCATACATAGCTATAATACCCTCACATTTTAGTTGTGTAGGTCGTAATTAACAACAAACGACTTGTTTCAATTATAGTAATATTTTTAAAATTAAAAATAGAACTTCACTTGACATTCTCTGAAATAAAAATTAAAAAAGAAAAAAAAAACGAAACCAACTTACCTTTCTTAACTTTCGTTGAACCGATTACGCCAAATTGCTTTTGAATGTGATTCTGCACTGAAAGAACTTCCATTTTCATGAGAAGCGATGAAAATAAATTATCCAAACCGATTAGAACGTTGCGCGATGATGGTGGGGCTGATGTGGATAGATGCGATGCTGTGGCTGCCGCAGCTGCGTCACTTTCACCGTTGCCGTTAATGGACGACGCTAAATGGACAGGCGGTTGTGGTGGCGCTGCAGATGATGGTGTTGGCGAGGATTGTGGCGATTGTTGCGGTGACGGCGATGACAAGGAAGCCGGTGATGTTGCTGCTGTTGCCGAATAATATTGATAATGATGGATGGAATGATGCCGTCGTCGTCGTTGGCGGCGGGAATGTGTAATGAAAGCGTCACTTTTGGGGCTGGTGCTATAAAAACATTGATCATCGATTGCGGTTGCTTCTACAGCAGTTTCGGTTGAGGGACTTGGTGGTAACGTGTTGGCGGCGTTTATTACAAAAAAGGAGGGGAGCCTGCAATGTTACGAAGTGTCAAAGATGCAGCAGCAAAGTGCCCAAAAAAATAAATGGGAGGGAGTTCAAATGAAACCGTGAGTTGTTTTTTGTTATTTTAGTTGTAGTATTACAAGGCGATCTTGTAAATTTTGTTAAACAATTATTTTCTTGAGGATTTCTATCACAATTGTAATTATCCACTGCGTCTTTCTGCGGGGTAAATTCAAAAGGTGGATGCGCGCTTTTTCTTCGCGGCTTGACTTTCCAATGTGTTGCCGGTTTTTCTTTCGATTCGTTGAAATGAAGCTGCTATTCTTTGCTTGGCATGTCAGTTTGATGTCCTACACCACCAACAAATGTCAGGAATAAAAGAGTTCGTTTATGGAGTATCTCATATACGAAATAAACAAAAGAACCGATGAGATACCACTCGTTCACTCAAACACCCTCACTCATTTACTGAGTAGGTAGGTGTGAGAGCTATGCACTGTGATTGTGAGAGGGCGAGAGCCTGCCTGTGTGTTTTTGGGGGGATATATGGGTGCCTCCACAGTAATTGTGGTATTCTTGTGTTGGCCTCTTTGTACTTTTGTGTTTTTTTTAGTTTTCGTTGTAATGTGCAAAAATCATTTGACAATTCTTGTCTTTATTTTCGGATGGGAAAAAAGAAAATTGGTTTCCAGCAAATGATTTTTTTCCCTCTTCTGGTTTTTCTTCTTCTTCTTCTTGTATGTATGTTAACCAGTAGATGATAGTAGTTTTGTTCGTTTTAACTGCAGGCAGTCACGCGTGAAAATCCAGTTTCCAGTTTCTTGCCTTTCGCCAACAACAACAAAACGGCTAGGCTTTTCTTCTTTCTCAAGACTGCAAATTAAAGTTGCTGTAAATCAGTTCAAGAAAAACGCACGTTCGCATACACACACACGCACGCACACACACTGGGGAAAAAGTTTGTTGGTTCGCTGGTTGAATATTTTCACAGAACTTCTTTATAAGCTTTGGATTTGTTTTTTGTTTCGTTTAACATTCGTTTCGTTCGCTCGTTCACAGTGCAGAAGCAGAAGAAAGATACTGTTTTGTCACGGCGTGAGTGTGTCAGTGTGAATGATGGCAAATTTAATTCTATTTTTTTTTGTTTCTGTAGTTTGTTGCTAAGGGCAGCAGTCGTCGACTCCGAACTGCAGTCAATTTAACTATTGTTTCGCAGTAGAGCCAGCCAACCAGCCTTTGCTGTTCGCTTACTGGTGGTGCTGGTGCTTAGTTTTTAGATGGCGAGCGGTCAATGGAGAGCTTTCGAAAGGTGTTGCAATTTCTGTGGCTGGCTTTTGTTGTTGTTATTTTTACGTTTATTAACCGAAACAATGCTGCAGATGCATAAATGAATCCAACCATGGGTTCTTGATCTCTTAAGGTCGTTTGTCAACTTATGGCATTAATTCTTCAGAGAGGTATGACGGATGGATGTTTGACACAAACATGGCAGAGGACAGTCAGCAAACATAGAAAAACCCAACAACATACGAGTACACAAATATTACAACAAATAATCAAATCAAACAAACAAAAAACATAACGAACGAATTTTCACACCAAATGTCAATCAAACGCGTCGGCCGAACAACACTCAATAACGGCAATTTACACACAAAAATGTTTATTTCTTTGCTTTCCTTTTTCAGAATATCATAACAAAGGTTATCTAAAATTTCGCTTCTCCTTAGTTTCTTCTTCTTAAATACGCAACGAAACTAATTTTTCAATTTCGAGTTAATTTCGTCAAGGCGAAAAACAAATTTGAGCCCTATTTCGTTTTACTGACTGACTGATGGTTCGGTTTTGCCCTCCGCTGCTTTTGCTGCTAACCTCGTTTTGCCAGCAGTGCTACAAAGCTACTATTCCGGCCGGTTGCTATGCTGGGTTTTTATACATTTCCTTGTTGAGGTTTCAACACATCGACGGAGTGCATCGGTTGTGTCAGTCGTTTCCAGAGCCGTCATCTCTGCATGCGCATGTCATCACTTGCAATAGAGCGAGCGCATGTTTCAGCCAGCAATATGATTTCGTACTCAGTCAGAGTAGTCACTCAGAAACAGTTGTTCTTTCGATACCTTGTCCTAGGGTGTGGGGCTGGGGCTCTCTGCTACGAACAAAAAAACATCTGTTCGCCAAACATCTGTGCGTTATTTGTTATTGTTTTGTTCTCCACCAAAGTAATAATCAGCTGCTTTCCTTGTCGAGAGAGCAAATCACATTTTTTAATGTGCACGAAAAAGCTCATTCTCTTGAGTGGTTGATAATCAGCTGTTTAAGCACACGTCTCCCCTGAAGATAAAGCACAATTTGATGTCCACCCGAAAAGAAAAAGATAAAATGCAAAGTGGCAACATTTTGTTCATAGCAAATTTAGCTTTATTTTGCTCTTGGGCAAGCAGGAAAGTGTGCGACTAATCATAAAACGGAGTTGTTCTTAATATTAAGGCGTTATGGGAAAACCGGAAGTATATACCCTACGTAACACTCCGATACAGGACATTATTTTTTAGTCCATTTGTATGTGAAAAATTACAATAGAAAATATTTCTACCAAAAATAATCAATATTGGTCCATTTTTCGGGGTAGCTGCCATAATTTTCATTTAAAAATTTTCAATATCGGTCAATTTTTTCGGGAAGACTCCATATGAAGTTATCTTTAACATTTCAGTATTTTGGAGTTTTTGAGCTGTAATGTGGCACTTTGTGTTCTTAATGAGTTATAAATCTCCCCACTAAAAATTCTCAATATCGGTTGTCTTTATTGGGTAGCTCCCATGTTTCTGGGTGGCCTTGTTTTTAAATTGCTTGCTCAGACCATAGTCGTAGGTATGGTACCACCAACATTTTGGTATTTTATTTAATTCCCCTAAATTTGGTATTTTGTGTAACTAATCCTTATACTCAAAAATTTAACCCATTTCTATATCCTCCACCTCCTATATTCAATAGTTTTTAAGAAATTTACAGTATAAAATTAACTGAAGTCAGCAACAAAGCTGTTATTATTTTATATAATTATTTTATAGAGTAAATTTCTTAAACACTATTGAATATAAATATATAGTTTGTTTTGGGACATGCAGTGGAATTTGACGTAGACTATTTTATTCTTTGACATAATATACCTAAAATTAAGTTTCATGTTACTTTAATGCGCTTAGTCGAAAAAAAGTACTGGGAAATGTCTCTGAAAAAAATACAAGAACATTTTGAATTTTTTGTTCAAAATGTATAACTATATATTCGGTATATACATTACCTGCATATGCCCGCTACGTCGTTAGCGGATCTTTCCAAAATTAAAATAAATAAACATTGATTTAGCGACACAATATAACGTAATATAGATTTATGTATTTCTAAGCATGTTCTAACAATGATCCATCTCACTTTTAAAAGTTATTTAATAATCTCGATACTTTTGGATTCAGTATAAATCAGAAAACGTCGAATAATGATAGCTCAGATCCTACACATTATTTTTTAAAGAGATCATAGTCCGCATTTCTTTCGAACATATTAAATGGAGAACAATTTACTTATTTCTCAAATTCAACAGTATTAAAATTCAACATTTCTCACCACTCCATAATATCCTGTTTCAAAGCATATTTTTCTTCTTATTTTATTTTTATATTTTCTAAAAGTGCACGACTTTCTCCAATGCATGTTTTTTTTTTAATTTTTTGTTCCTTTCGGCAATTTTATACTAATGTAGTACGTTTTAGTACATGTGTATCATTATAGTACGAATTTGTAATATAACATTTTGTACAGTACACTATTTATTATAAAGAGGTCTGCCTTTATAGGGAAGATTGCAGTAATTTAGTATTTTTAATGTTGTGTGTTCTCTACCTTTTCCGATGTAAACTATACGCATTATATATAATTTGTTATAGTTGTTATACATACAACATGTCAGCACTTTATCTCTACCCATTCTGTCGTATACAATATTTAGAACCGAAAGTACTAATGTCAAACCAAACTGCGAAAACATTGTTTTTCATATAAAAAGACCTGTACCAAATTCTATCTCCACCCGTACCGCCGTATACAATGTGTTGTACTTTTAGAAATTATTTCTGGAAAATATTTATGTATAAATGATTATAGTCATAGTTCCAGATAAGTATTTAATAAAAGGTTCCTACCTTTATCCCTTCCACCGTACCCAATATTTAGTACTTGTTGGTACCTTTAAGTACAATTTACCAACTTTTTGTTTATAATAGACAAAGCTACATGCCGAATTTCAGAATTATACTTTTTCATAACTTTTTAGTACATTTTAGTACTAATTTCCAAAAAATATTTTTGCCCATCGTTCTATTTTTAATAACTTAAGTTAAATAACATGTTTCAGATATATACCCGTACCTGTTCTATTGTAATATCATACTTAGTACCTTAAGTACTAATTTCCAAAATTTGTTCATCCTTCCCCCTTCGCCTATCATTGGCAAAGCCGTATACCAAATTTCAGAGTTCTGCTTCCAAACGTTTCGGTGTAATATAGTCATAGAGTAATGAAGATATAGACGACGAAATACTCAAAAAATGCGCATTCAGGTAACTCAAAATAAAAAAATCAAAAATTTTTAAAGACGTTTTTTGGGGAAAATTGTCTATTTTTCTTTAATGTTTTTATTTGAGGATATAGTATTTTCTTAAAACTAACTATATTTTGTGGCATTCCAAATTAAAAGGTTCAAACATTTAAATAAATCACGATTTAAAATTGAGTAGCGCATTCAGCAGTCTCAATTCAGAGAGGACTGGTGAGAGCATTTCGTCGTCTATATTTTCATTAGTCTATGATATAGTTTCAGTATTTTTTTAGTACTAATTTCCAAAAAATATATTGGCACAACATTTTATTTGTAATAGCTTAAGCTACATATCAACATTGGTGCATCCTACAAAAAGGGTTAATATATATTATAAAATCCAAAACATTTTTAATTAAACATATGCTT